TGGGACCTACACAATGTAATAATAACTACTACACAACGACTGAATTATATTAACGAGTTCACTTCACTTATCGTATATCGACCTATCCCAATATACTACCGGCTCTCGTCCACGCCTAATCTCGGCAACATGAGCACTAGTAAGTTAGTCGATGCTAGTAGGTGATGCCCCCTCTTAGTAGGAGTTGATAGGAAGTTGGCCAACCCTATCACTGTTACGTCGCTGGTCTTTCGATCAAGTAAATGCGATACCACATCATCACCACTTTGGGGTACTGAGAAAGGTAACGAGTAGAGCAAAGACTCAACAACAGCAACACTATGAATGATAATTGTGAATATTTTTATTCATTAAATTGATAAAAATTCTATTTTCATGTATTTATATTTTGGAGTTTCACCCGTGATATGAAAGACACTAGTGACCGAAACATATTTCACGACTAGTACAGGCCGTTTTTCACCAAGTTTTACGCCACTTCACGTAAAACGGGTGAAACTCCTTCGATTTGACATTTCTTCAATGAACAATATTATCTATTGAAATTTATTGAATTTTCATGACAACATGAAGTCGATGAATAAACATCAGCCTCACTACCTTGGCTCTCTATCTCCATCTCAGTCTGCTCCACAAGTGGTGACCTACCCTCATAAGGGGCACTGGTGGCCACCGTGGGGGTCTTCTTATGTCGACGAATTTTACCCATCAATTATCACAAAAGGAAGCCAACACTAGATCACGACAACGCGAGATTCTTTCTCTCGAATATTGAAGGCAGATCCGATTACTCTCCAACTAGTCGACGACAGGAAGACTCACTCAACTCGCATGACTAGAAGTGCTTAATAAACAACAATGCTTATACTAAACACAGATGCTTGCAACTCTTATGGATACTATTACAATGATCAATACCATGCGTTATCGTAATGAAGAGAATCCAAACACTACCGTTCTCACTTTAGCGAGCATTCGAGTGGCAGCTACTCACTAACCGTTTGGTGACCCGTGGTCATCGGACTCTTAACACTGTCGACATCGTCTTTGCCATAATAGCTCGAGATAGTCACACTGTGACTGTCACAGTAGTTGTAGCAACTTATCATTCGTTCCTAGAAAGAGAACTGCCCCCTCAAGAAGCTCAAGTTGAATACCGATGTGTATAGTGCATCGCTCCGCTAGAAATTCGCGGAGATGTATCAGTGAGGGAGGCGGATCTTCGCCGCGGACCGTGTAACATGTACCCCATTTTCATTGAATCAATTCTGGACTTCCGAATCGATCCTAGCATCGCGTTATACGTGTAATAAGCGATTCTGGAATCTATTCTGAGTTTCGGGGGTAGGGCGAGCTTCTTTACGACTACTCCCGGGAGCAAGTACCGAAGAGGGTGTAGACACGCACTGTCGTCGGCACACTCACTGAGTGCCACTCAGATTCTGTGTCTCTGAGTGTCGCGTCCTCGTCGGTACTTCTAGGGTCATTTCGTACCGAATCATCCTCCTAGACCCACGGTGGGTCACCCACCCGACCGGGAGTGGGATATCTAATTTTTAGTCTTCGACCTTATTAGCTCAACTTCAGCACGCAAGTGCACGTAATCCGCCCTCCGGTCCCAACCTGTGCGCATTCCGGTGCCAACACGTGTAAGCCCATAGGGGGTTTGTTTCATAGTGGAACGTGTTCTAGACCATCCACGTGTGCCGAGTTAGATGAAACGGTTGGTTCGGCCTGGAAACTGGTATCTATGCCCCGTAAGCACTTAGGCTTCCGTATCATCTCTTTTATGTTTGATTCTTCAGGCTGGATAGTCCTTGAGCGGGTAATATTGATATACTCATCCAGCTGCTCATAGAACTTCTATGAGTAGCTGGTCTATCCATCTTCTATGATAGAAGATCTATTGGATATCACCTGGTAGATCGTCCACATCAAGTTGATGTCATCAACGCATAGACTTGGCCGGGTCATACAGTTTACCACTGGATTTATTGATTGTCGCCCAGTCTGAATTCTAACGGCTTGTACAGCGGCAAAATGATTGTACAAAAGAGTGGTTCTCATACTAGTCTCAACTTGAGCAGAGAGCCGGCTCGCCGTTGAGTTTGACGATTCTCCGAGCAGCTTCGTCAGACCGTCCAACTTGTCGCGCAGCTCTTCGAATATCTTGGTATTCATTACAAATGACGTTGTTGGAAGATCACTCGAGCATGAGTGTGGTTCCCCAGACAACACCGTGAGATAATTCTTGGACCTACAGGTTGCGTCGAACTCAGCAGCATCTAGACACATCGTGAACATAGGATTCAGTGCCCCAGGGCAAGATGCCCATCGTGAGCCATCCACTCTGAATGCTTCACGAGAACCTACTTTGGATAGTGCTGTATAGATACACCCCATTAGCCATTCCTGCCGCCAATACGCAATAATCATCTCATCTTCACGGCGCTTCGAGCAGTTCTTGAAGGGCAAATGAAGCCAAATACCAGTAAGTTTGAGTCCTACTGTACGGTGCACCGTCATAGCTGCCGCTAGGATAAAAGGGAACTGGTCTCGTATGAAGACGACTCACCTTCGGCGTTTAACAAAGTATAGCGCTCACGCCAAATTTTCTGTAGCCCTCGTTTCCGGGTGATTTAACTTTTGCAATATACGGTTACGCAACAGTTGCATAATCAGTTGTCTTATTGCAAACGTGTTGTGTAATTGACTATGCTATGGAGATTTATCCAACTTTCCAGTATTGCAACAGTCGTAGTGTTGCATTATCGTCGGTACACTAGGTGTCATTTTTACAACGCTGCGTTGCTTTTGCATATATTTTTCTTGAATTTTCTCAACAGGGGGATCACTTTTGCAACTCATGCCTGTTTTTGCAACATATGAAAAATTTCGAAGCATATGTCGATTTTTCACACAGAAAGTTCCACATTTTGCACAAGATTTCAGTTTTCACACATTTTGCACACATTTTCGGTGCACAAGTTGTGCGGCAGAACGAGTTCGGCAACATAGATGGAACCTCCAGTGGCTCCGCTCGCTCCCCACAGTGGGGAGAGTGAGCCCTCGAGATCCAGTGACTGATTCAGTCAGGAGATCAGCTGAGGACTATTCAGAATGGTCCTCAGCTGTTTATCATCAGCACGAAACGGTTTTCTATCCGTAACTAGGTCAACGAAACTCAGACCTCCATTTCAAAGGCTTGAGAAACTCATTCACATCATTCATGAAATAGGTTATCGAATTATGAGCTGATCAGGTAGTTATAAAGTTGCATCAACACCGGGAGGCAGCTCGTCTACGCCACTATCCCTCAATGGCGTAACATCCGTCTATTCTTTTTCAACGCTGGGACCCAATACTGCCAGTACTTCCAGTATTATACTGGGGTCATCCGTTTTTTCAGTGTACAATCAGCGATCCGACTAACTACTACGACGACTAACTACTACGACTACTAACTACTAATGTCTATTACTCCCAGTTACTCAGTGAGTAATACGCACCTAGGGGGCTGGTCACCGCCTTCTCTGTCGCGTATCGCTTCAAGCACTTTCATCGACGTGGGCGAGAAATCCGCTCTACCATCGCTTCTAGAGTTTCCTCTAATCTCTGCGAGCATACCAAGGTATTCCACATCACCCCCAGAACATCTATGAAACTTGATTAGATAGAACGTACGCAGGTCCATGGCCATGTTGATCTATTCCAACCAGGGGTATTGAGATAACACAAGTATAGCCAAGATAGAGTAGGTGCAAGATAGGATAGGTCTCGTATCAAGTACACCGAAATAAGGAAATAACTTTGTGCCACAGCCAACGAACAAAATAGCTATTCTACTACTAAGAACAGCAAGACTTCAAGATCTCAAGAGATCAATAGGCACAGACAACACTCCGGGGCCACAGACTACACATCAATGCGCTTCAAATTGCCAATATACTCAAAGAAAGGCTGAGAGCGTAAAGGATCACTGGAGATAGCAGCCACTTGACCAGGAATCGAAATGACTTTATAGACAGTAGCATTCCAGTAAGGATCCAGCTTGTTACGGTTATAGTTATACCTTAACACAGAATCGCCAATCTTAAGAGTATCAAAATTGCTACGAAGCACAGACTCGTCAGCTAATACTTTTCTAGAACGGAGTGTAGCGTCTAAGTTTTCAGCATCAACTGTAACCCACTGAGAGTCTTCAGTCAGCCTTCTGCAATATGTCATAACCATTTCTTCCAGCTCATCATTCGAAGGTAATTTGAGCGGAACATTCTTATCCAGAAAGGCAGAAGCAGACTGAGATAGAGAGCTTTGAGCATTCATGCTAGGAGGTAATCCTCGACCGTGCACATAGTGCAAAGAACTTGGATAGAGAGTCGATGATAGGCTAGGACGAGTCACACTATTACAGAGAAAGATGACACGACCCATCAGATTATACCAACTAGCTTCTTGATAGTCACCGTCAGTCAATAGAGCTCTCAAAAAGAAATTAATCAACTTATGCTTAGCCTCGGACCAACCATTCCACCGTGAGGAGTGAGAGGGCACCGTAACCCACCTAACTCCCATGCTCAACGACCATGAAGACACCTGAGTCGAACGGAATCGAGAATCCGCATCGGACACAATAGCCTTAGGGTACTGATGGTCTAGGCAAACAGCATCAAGACTTGCCGCAACTGCTACTGCAGGGGCATAATCATGTACCACTGCATGGCAGAGGTAACCAGTGTAGGAATCGACAAGAATAAGACACATTGTCGACTCTACCTTAGGGTCATATGAAATTCTATCGCGTTGCACATATGGGCCTATAAGGTCCACAGCCAACACTTCCCACGGTCTCTCATTTCTAACTAAGGATCTGCCCAACCGATGGCTCAGAGTGCGGTAGCCTCTTTGCACACGACAGACCTCACAATCTCGTTGATGACGGACAAAATTCTTGAGAGAACCGCAATCGAAATCACTACAAGTAGACTTGAATAATTTATGGCTTCCGAGATGACCGTAAAAAAGATGTAAAGCCTTAACGACATCTAACTGCCGACAATATGGAACAACCAGACCGTCAGTCACAGCATTAATAACATATTTCGGAGAGCCATCTTTCGGAATAACAACAGCATATTTACGAAGTAATCTCGGCTCTGGATGGCCGTACTTATCAAAATCTAGTAGTTTACCGAGAGAAGAATCCTCATATTGCATAGAAATAATAGCCTCTCGTAAACTGATAGGGGTCTCATTATCGGAGAGCTCAATCGTACAGAAATCTACCACTTCCTTTACTTGATCACTTCCAATAGTGTCCACATGCTCTGTGTCCACGTCATACGGTAAGCCTTCCCGGCGGCGAGAAACTTCTACCGCAAGTTTCAGGCCAGCATCTTCGTGAGGGAGGGTAGTCAAAGGTGTACCACGAGAGAAGGCGTCGGCTGGATTATGACGTCCACTCAAATGGTATATAGTGCCATTTAACAAAGCCAAGTTCTTAGCAATACCAAGGAGAACCTTCGATTCCCACTGTGGTATATCAAGTGATTTTGGTGGCCATATGATATCCTTGGAGTCATCGTTCTCATCAAGAACATATTGTTGGGCTTTACGGAGTCGGAAAAAGTTGGCGGAGTTATCCGTGAAGAACTGAACCTCCAACTTCATGGTTCCATCCACCGCTAGAAGAGCTCGTCGAGTTTCTATGTAGAAGGCAACTGCTTCTTGAACAGCCAACAACTCCTTTCTCACTATTGTCCATGACCTTCGCTGCCCACCAATAAGCTTAGTATAACAACGGATGATGTTCAGGTTAGCATCGGTAATAACCACTCCTATTCCATATGCTGACGAATCCAGAACACACAGATCACAGGATCCTGACGG